CCTCTGGCCCCCACCAGTACCCCCAGTCCCCCCCCATGGCTGCCCCTACCTGCCCCAGCTCCCAGTACTTTAAAGAAAAGCCCCAGTGCTCACCAGGTGCTGCTGGGCAGAGGGTGATCCTCACTGCCCCACACTGCATGGTGGGGGGCTCTGTACGAGCCCCCCATGGCTGCCCTGCCTGCTGGGGCTCTGGCTCTATAAGGAAAAAAAAAGAGAAAAGCCCTGGGACTCGCCTCTCCTGGTGCAGCCTTGGGGCTTCAGGGGCTTGTGCAGAGCCCCTGTGTGGCGGGGGGGGGCAGCAGGGATGACTCCCGCTGGCAGCAGGGGTTTTTTCAGGTTTTTTGGGTTTTTTTCTTAAGGGGCCAGAGGTGGCCTGTACAGGGCACCTGTGGCAGGGCTAGGGGAGGAGGGGTTTGGGGGCTCATGCAGAGCCTCCCCATGCAGTGTGGGGCAGTAGGGGGCAGCGGGGATCGCCCCCCACCTGGCAACACCTGTGGAGCGAGGGCTTTTTTTCCCCCCCAAGTGCCAGGAGCTGGGGCAGGCGGGGGCAGCCATTACTGGGCTGGGAGAGGAGTGAGGGATGGGCCGGGCCGGGCCGGGCCTGGCCTGGCTGATTTGGAGATTCAGCTGCTGCTGAATCTCTGAATCGAATCAGGACAGTGATTCGAATCACTGAATCGAATCGCTGTCCCCCGAGTCGGCCGAATCCAAAGTGAATACTAGCTGCTTCACACAGGCCTACTAATAGGTGCTCAGGTCTGGTCAGTAGAGATCTCATTAAACAGAGGTGTGGGGAGGAGCAAAGTATAGTGGCCTCCATGAGGGATATCTCAGGGCAGGGATCAGGGGGAGGTATGAAGGACTTGTCAGTACAATGTTGATTCCCAAAATGTCAACCTCTTGTAATCTGGAAGGCCAGGAGAGGTACAGGACACTGAATGCTTGTAACCGTTTGTCAGTTTTGTTCACTTGCTTCGCCTGTGAAATTCCTTCAAGATAGATCCTGTTGTATGGGAAGGTGAAGCAATATCTGAGTTGCCCGTACTTGGGACACTTTGCATGTCTTAAAAATACCATATTTATCTGCACACACCATGCACCATTTTCCACCCCCCCACCCCCCCAAATTGGGATGTGTTTGTTAATCAGAAAAGTGTAGTCACCATTGTATTAGTATTCAGGCAGGTGCAGGAGTCTGACTTAATGGCTCATTGCTTTTCATTCCAGAGTTGTTAATACTTGTCTTTTTCTTTTTAATGGCCTTGATGTTCCATTGATCAAACTAACCTTAGGGCCATTTTGCTGTCTGCTAGCAGCTCTTGGTCTACCTCTTCTTATTTCACAGCCTTGGAAACTAACTCTTTTCAAAATCATAAATCCTACATATGGAGACCAGTCTTCGGTGAGCAGCTTTGTTTTTCAGGGAGGTTGGGTGAGCTGAGGATTAAGCTGTCTCTGCTCTATGGAGCCATACTGCTGGAAAACTCTTTTTTTTTCTTTTTTTTTTTCCTTCATTCTACCTTTCAAAAACAAGATATGTATTATACTCAGGTGCACGTTATATACAATAAACTACAGTATACTAGTTACATGCTACTCAGGCTTCACTCCAAGGAAAGAAATGGCACTAAAAAGCATTGTCTGCTGCCTAACACTAGAAAAAATCTTTAAAATTGCATTGTAATGCATATGTTCACATGTGCGGAGAGATTGAAGGAGATGGATTGCAAAATAAACAGAGGATTAAAAACTGGGTCTTTTTTCATTCTATCATTGCCCCTTACATACCTACTTCTACCCAATGCCCTGCCTTCAGTCTTCCAGCTTTCAAGGGACATACTACTCATCTCAACTATTGAGAGAAAGCATGAGGAGAGACATTCTGTGTCACGAAGATCCCCTGAAGATGTGAGGGCGGGAGTGCAATTAGGCTTTTAAGGTGCCAACCTTTTGCAGTCTGTCCCAGATTTGTGCAGCCTGAAGGAGAATGGATTTCTGTGGTGTCTTTCAATCTTCCTGTGACCAGCATTTCTCTCTCTTTCGTAGAATCATAAAAAAGTAGGGGTTGGAAGTGATCTTAGGAAGTTATCTTGTCCAACCCCCGGCTCAAAGCAGGATCATCCCTATCCAGACCATTCCATACAAATGCTTGTCTAATTTATTCCTAAAACTGCAAACCAAGAATGTCATACAACCGTGAGGCTGTCTCTCACCACTGCAAGGGTTGCTAAAATACATCCAAGAGGGCCATGCCCCCTACTACAGAGGAAGGCAAATTCTTGTCTCATCCCTACCCTCTCCCCCTGCAGTCCATTTGAACTTGTTCTGACAGTATTTATTTCTGTATGTATGAGTTTCCCCCAACGCTTCAAATTTCAGGTAGCAGAGATGAGAAGAACACTGACTCCTTCCAACTCTCCAATGTCTTCTCCAAGTAAACATGGAGACAGGTTTATTCCCTCCAGAGCTGGGGCCAACTGGAGCATTAACTTCCACAGGATAAATGTAAGTATTGCACTGTGCAATATCAGGGCAAGGCCTTGTGGTGATAGGCGTGGGGGAGGATGTGATACCTTGCAAAGAGTTACCAAAGCTGATTTGGCAGGATCTTGCTCCTTCCCCCTCTCTGCATCAGTTCTCTTGCTGATTCAGAACTTGTCTCCCTGGAGAGTTACCATCAACTGTGTCCCTGATCTTTGTGACTGTACATCTGCAGATTTCTAAAGAGCATGGTGCCTTTCCCATTAACATCATTTTTTAAAAAAGATTTTTTTCAGATCTCTGTTCATGTGAGGATTGGCTTGATAGCATGCATTTTTCCTCCTTCAGGAAAATGAAAAGTCTCCAAGTCAAAACAGAAAAGCAAAGGATGCTACCTCAGACAATGGCAAAGGTTAGCTTTTTTTGTACCACTGTTCCCCCTGCATTCTTAGCTTTGATTTGAGCCTGAAGTCCAGTCTAAGTCACAAGCATGAACAGTAAAAATATAAGCATTCCTCTCAGTGTCTTAGTGTTGGACCTCCATTTTGCTTGGAAGCATTTCTCAGAGGAGAAGGATATCTTGCTCAAAATGGCTGATCTAATCTTGAATAAAGAAGTTAGCACTCGTGGCACAATTGTGATGTGGATACTTCTTTAGAAAGAACTAGATTGAACTTTGGGTGGGCTGCTGAGCTCATGACTTAGAAGAGAGAGGCTCTTTGGTCCCTTTTCTGTTCTTTTGAGCTGTCCTCTCCCAAAAATGTCTGTCTTGGCTGAATAAAGCTAGGAACGAGGTTAGCGGTATATTTTGTCTTCTCCTCATGCAGATAAGTGGATTTAAATTTAAAGGATGACCAGACATGGCATCCTCGCTTCCAGCTATGGGTTTCAAGCTTCAGTCCAGTCTGTTTGTTCCGGGCTTCGCTCAAGCATGTGTCTTTGTTGATGCAGATGGCCTTGCATACTCTGCCTTGCTGAAGAATGAACTCTTGGGAGCAGGGATTGAGAAGGTGCAGGATCCTCAAACAGAGGACAGGAGGCTGCAACCATCTACGCCAGAGAAGAAGAGCCTCTTCACAGTAAGTGTGGCTAATGGAAAAATGTCTTTTAACCTTCAATGCTTGTGCTATAACTTGCAGAGAGGAGCAGGCATTCCTCAAATATGGTAATAGGCACCTGGCACGTTGCTGTATCTGGCAGTCTCGACATTAAAATGAGTCATTGACAATGATGCTAAATAAGTAGGGTAGACAGTAGGGGCGTGCAAAACCGGCCGTATTCGATTTGGGTTTGGATTTGGATTCGGCCGAATCGGGGACAGTGATTCGAGTCATTGATTTGGATCACTGTCCTGATTCAATTTGGCCGAATCCAAATCTGAAGAGTCAGTGCTGATTCTGAGAAGATTTGGTGGCCGAATCCTAATAGAGTTGGGATACCCTTTAATCTCTCCAAATCGAATTGGAACCCTCTGAATTAATTCCAAGAGTTTCGATAATTTGGACGTAGACACAGCTTTAAATGTTTTTTCTACATACCTCAAGGTACCAGGCACAGCTTGCAAATGCTGTGATGCTGGGGTGGATGGAGCGTCTGACAGGAGCTCAGCAGGGTCCCCAGTGTGCTCCCAGGTGGACTCAGAAGTGGACCGGAAGTGCTTCTGGTCCACTTTCGGGTCTGCTGCCAAGTGCACTGGGGACTCCCCATACTTCTGTGGGACACTCAATCTGCTTGTATCCATAGCCTGTCTTCAAGCGTGACCACGCTCCCCCATAACTTGGTGTTGTTTGTGGGTCTTTGTCTAGCCGGGTCTTAAACACCTCCAAAGATGGAGATTCCATAACCTCTCTGAGTAAAAATTAACTTCTCCGTATTGTTTTAGAGTAAATATTTAAAGGAAATGTTAAGGGAAGGGACAAACGGGTAGAAAACAAAACAAACCTGCCTCCGTGCAGGATTTTGTAGGTAGCGTCTCATGCTGGGACTTGTACTGTGTAGGGTTGTTATATCTAGTGCTTTCTTTGTACAGTATTCCCTCAGTACCAAACGCTCCAGTCCAGATGATGGCAATGAGGTCTCCCCGTATTCCCTTTCACCTGTCAGCAACAAAAGGTAATAAGCTACCCACTGGGCAGGAAAAGAGGATGAGGTTCTTGACAGATTGGTTTTATAGTAACTGATTACCAACTAGCTACAGAATTTTGGACAAAGGAGTAGGAAGTAGGAGTTGTCCAGTTCCTAAAGAGCAAGCATCCTTAAAAATAGAGATTTTTGGTCAGTGTTTCCACTGGCACGTTCCTTCCTTTTCTTAGCTTCATTATAGGAACAAGAGCCTAACTTAATTCTCACCTTGGGTGGGTGTCACTGATGAACGAGCCACTAAAATGACTTCCTGTATTCTGTCCTTTAGAAAGGCTGTGATCAGTACAGTAGCAGTTTCTCTAAACTGGCTGGTACCATCACAGAGCCTTATAAGATATGCATATCTTTGGGTAACAGCCAGAAATTGCTAAGATCGCCTCGAAAGCCAACAAGAAAAATATCCAAGATTCCTTTCAAAGTGCTGGATGCTCCAGAGCTGCAAGATGACTTCTACCTGAACCTTGTGGACTGGTCATCTCTCAATGTACTCAGTGTTGGTCTTGGTACCTGTGTCTATCTGTGGAGCGCTTGCACTAGCCAAGTAAGTAATAAGCTAATCTAATCTATTTTATTTGCAGTGTCAGTTCTTCCCCTGCACTAAAATAAAATGAAATGTGTTTTATATTGAGTGCAACACTAAGGCCTCTGGCAGACATTCACTTAAGGCACAATGGGATTTAATTTCCTATCCCAACAATCGTGCCTCCTGCCATGCCACACCTATGGCAGATGTGCAATTTTTGGGAACAGATCCCACGCGCCCTACTTGGCAGTGTGCCCTAGAGAGTCATGGGCCTCGTGAAGCTGTGTAGTCCTGGGACTGAGACTTCCCTTCAGCTGATGGGTGTCACAGCCCCAGGACTGCACTGGAGTGAGTTCCACACTCTGGTGTTGTCCCACAGCAGGGACTGCCAACATGATTGGCAGTCTCTCAGTGCACTGATCACAAGTGCAATTTGAGGCATAATGAAAACTAGTCACAAAATTATTACACATTCTGTGAAATAATTTGGGGGCTTATTTTCACCCTTCTATCATGCCATTAATATCATAAACAGGTGGCCAGATCATTATTTAAAATGTGTTAATCGTGTCTTAAGCGTAACATCTTCCAGGGGTTCGGTAGTGCTCTTAGTCCCAGTTTTTAGCCTGTGAAATAGCTAATTTGTTAGTATGGTCATTATGCTGCTGCTGTTCAATTTCTTTCCCTTTTCAAGGTGACCCGGTTGTGTGATTTATCTGTGGAAGGTGATTCTGTAACGTCAGTGGGCTGGTCAGAACGGGTTCGTATAATGCTGTCAAACATGATTGATTTCATTTTCAAAAGTGCTGAGGACTTTCTGCCCCTCTCAACTACTGTTGCATTTCAAGATACACACCAAGCGCTCACTTTTCTGGGTAAAACAATTGGAACTGTTTTTGGTGCCTCTCCATTGATAGGAATGCAGTTTGATACATCAGTGTGAGCTGTATAGTTTAAGGGGGGGAAAAAAGTGATGCCAAAGACCATTAATTGCTTTTTGCCTTTTGTTAAAAGCTAGGCAGATGAGTCAGCTTTGACTAAAGCGACCATCTCAGCTATCCTGCTATGTAGATAAGGGTTTGGTATGTAGAAATGTATCATAAATGGAGTAGAGAAATCTGCCCATGTGTGGGTAAGTTGTGCTGTCAGTCCCCACAGTGCAACTCCCCGGGTGCCACAAACTTCGGTTAATATTTGCTGCTCATTGTGGAAAGTTGTTGACGTGAATTAATACAGTCGGTGCATTTCAAGTAATTCTTTGTAGTGCTACCGTGTAGCATGTGTTCTGTCTGGGGAAGGCCTGGGCTAAATATCTCAGGTTCCTGTTGAAATCCTTAGCGGCAAAACCCCTGCAGCCAAGTCCTCAAATACCATTGGATATTCTGGAGAAGGTAGGCTAGACTGTGACAGGTGGAGGACAAAGTGATCACGTCTCATTGCAAAGGACTTAAGATGCTTCATCTTGTCTAAACCAAGGACTTGATGATGCTACAGTGCTTAGAATATGCATGAAAAGTGCCAGTATTATTTGCCTTGAAAGGATTCTCTTGATGCATCTAGTTTAGTTCCTAGAGCAATTTTCTCCTAATATAAGTAGTAAGATGTTGAGGATGTGTATATACCCTGTTCGAGCACTCCCAGGTTAGCTGGAATTCCTTTGAGCATGGATGATCTCTCTTGAGACTTTATCCTTCTCTTTCCCGCGCCCCCCCGCCCCCTTTTTCAGAACCTCAAGTTTATGGTGTGGCCCTCTGAGTCTTTTTGTGTGCTTCTCCTTGCTGGCTTTATTGATTTGGAATTTTTCTTTTAATTTATTTAGGGGAACTTAGTAGCAGTTGGAACTCACAAGGGCTTTGTACAGATCTGGGATGCAGCTGCAGGGAAGAAATTATCCATGCTTGAGGGTCACACAGCCAGAGTTGGTAAGGAGCAAGTAGGAGACAAAGGATGAGGTGTTTTATTTTTAAATACCACCTTCTGATATAAAATATTGATCAATGAAAGCTAGAGCTGTCCACCTTGTAAGTGGCTGTGAGCCCTATGCCCTGTGGGCCATGGTAGTGGGGACCACACCATGGTGACCCACAGGTAGAGCTGACCCAAGCAGGGTGCGGGGCCCAGGGCAAATCAGCTTGTGCAGGGCCCTGACCCTGCATACCCTAGATGTGAAGAAGCCACTGCCGCCATTGGCAGGGTTGGGGTTTAGCGAGCAGCTGGATGCAAAGCCAGCGGTGGTGGTGCAGAGTCGCCACTCCTCCCGGCTCTGCAGGGGCCCTGGGATGGCTCTGGCCACAGGCCTCCTGGACTGCACTCCCTGCTAATGCCTCCCTTCCTTCTGCACCATACAGGCACCCCTCAGTTCACTGCTGCACTGCATGCTTGCATGGCCTCAGTCTGGGCTTTGGCTCCCCACCCTGTCCCTTGAGGCAAGGGCAGGCAGCAGAAGCCAGAGGGGAGAGGGGTGCTTGGAGGCTCTGGCTGCTGTTACAGGCAGAGCAATGCAGGGAGTAGTGGTGGGTGACAGTCTAGTGGGTCACAGTTTATTCCCTCACAGGCTGCCAGCCCTGAATTCAAACCATGTAAATACTGCAATAGTGCCTTAAACCTGATTAACAAGGAGTGCCAGAAATGTGGGGAGCAGGCATATCCTTGCAACTCCTGGGCTTTCTTCAAAAATTCATTTTAAATTTTCATTCTGTAGCAGCACTGACCTGGTTTGGGTGTGGTGATACATGAATCATTGCAGCACAAACTTCTGGCAAGTGCCATTTTTTTTAATTCATGTGCCTGAGGCAGATAAGGGTTGGTGTGCTATGTTACTAACCTTGTTGAATGTCCTTATTTTCTGGTTTCCAGTCTCCAGTTAAGTTGTTAACACTGGGAAGTTTTCAGTTCATTTTATCTTTAAGCAAGTAGTTTTATGGAAGAAAGCAATGCAACTCTAGCTCCCAGACCTAGATCCGGTGACCAGAACTCATGAGTCCCATTTCCTTATCCACTATTGACTTATCAAATGGTGGTGGTAACTCATGAGGTTTGTGTTTTGGAAACTGTTTTACAATCTTCAAACAAGTGCTGAAGACTTTTTTTTATAATGCTATAATCATATAATAGTATTGGTGCTTAACATGTGCATACTGTTTCCCCCCCCCCCCC